TTTAAACTCTATTATAAAACTGCAATAATCAAAACAGCCTGGTATTGGTACAAGAATAGGCATATAGACTAGTGAAACAGCATAGAGATTCCAGAAGCAAAACCTCAATTTCTCAACCAACTCATATTTTACAAAGCCTCCACCACCAACGACTAGGGAGAGGAGAACCTATTCAGTAAATGGTGTTGGGAAAACTAGCTGACCACATGCAGGATATTAAAACAAGATCCCTACTTATCACCATACACAAAAATCAATTCAAAATGGATCACAGGCCTAAATATAAAACCTCAAAATACAAGAACCTTAGAAAATACAGGAGACACCCTTATGGAAATTGGAACTGGCAACCAATTCCTGATCAAAACCCCAAGCACCATAAGAGATAAAATAGACAAGTGGGACCTCATCAAACTGACAAGTTTCTGCCAAGTCAAAGAAACCATCAAGAGAGTGGGGAGACAGTCCACAGACTGGGAAAAAATATTTTCCAACTGTATGTCTGACAAAGGCCTAACATTTGGATCTACAAGGAACTCAAATGCGCTGAAAAGAAAAAAACAAACAGTCCCACTACAAAGTGAGCAAAAGACATGAACAGACAGTTCTCAAAAGAAGGCATATGAGCAGCCAACAGATACATGAATGAATTCTTAGCCTCACTGGTCATCAAAGAAATGCAAATTAAAACACTGAGATACCACCTAACTCCAGTCAGAATAGCTATCATCAATAACAAAAAACAACAGACACTGGAGAAGATTTGGTGAAAAGGGAATACTTCTACACTGTTGGTGGAAGTGTAAACTAGTACAGCCTCTGTGGAAAACAGTGTGGCGATTCCTAAGACATCTAAAAATCGACTTTTCACATGACCCTGCAATCCCCCTACTGGGAATATACCCGGAAGAAAACAAATCACTCTATAAAAAAGATACCTGCACACAGATGTTTATCGCAGCATTTTTCACAGCAGCAAGAACATGGAACCAACCATGCTGCCCATGAAAAGAGGACTGGATAAAAACATATACATGATGGAATATCACGCAGCCATAAAGAACAAAATCATAAACTTCACAGTAACCTGGATGGGCTTAGAGTCTTAATACTGAGTGATCTTCCACAGAAACAAAGAACTGAGTAACACATGTTCTCACTTGCAAGTGGACCTTGAACAATTATCATAAAATTATTAGAAAAGAGTTGGCAGTAGTGGGAAAACTGCCAGGAGGGAGGAGGGGAAGCAGGTAAAAAAAAAATTTTTTTTAACTGATTCTTTTCTTAAACCTACCTTCCTTTTCTCTTTCCCAGAGTTGCCATTAGGGAAATGTGAGAGTAAAAAATTCTTGGATTGAGTATTAGTTTGTGGGACTACAGGTTAATCTGCTGCCTCTCTCCTCTGCTCCCTTCTCAAGAGGACTCAATGCCTTGTGCGACCTCAAGCCAGCACCACTCACACAGGTGAATTGATGCAGACAACAGCAGCACAACCAACGGTCCTGCCAGTGGGTCTCGTAACTGGGAAACAGAACAAACCAAAACAGCCACGAACAAAGCCCGTACTTTGAAAATACAGCCTATACCACAGTCTCACTGCCAGGCATACTCCGAGTCTGCTTTCACTGGTAGATTAGTGAAATTAGGAAATCAGGTGATTTCCTCACTTGCAAGATGGTGAAATTTGCAAAAGTGAAATTAGGATATCAGGTGATTTCCTCATTTGCAAGATAGAAAAAGAAACTTTGTTTGCAAGGGTCTGAAGAGGATGAAATTGGATAGCATAAATCAACTGTCTGGCACACAGTAGGCTCTTACTAGGAAGCAAATTTAAACGTCTTTATTGAGATAACTCATGTAGCATAAAATACATTTATTTATTTACTTACCTACTTATTTATTGAGTCAGGGTCTCACTCTGTCACCCAGGTTGGAGTGCAGTGGTAGGACCATGGCTCATGGCAGCCTCGAGCTCCTGGGCTCAGGCAATTCTTCCTCCTCAGCCTCTCTAGTAGCTGGACTACAGGCACGTGCCACCACTCCTGGCTAGGTTTTTGATCTTTCTGTAGAGTTGAGGTCTCACTGTGTTGCCCAGGCTGGTCTCCAATTCCTAGGCTCAAGCAGTCAAATCCTTCCATTCAAGCTGCACACTTTAGTGGGGGTTTCATTTCAGCACAGTCAGCCCTCCATCGCTGTGAGTTCTCTGTCCATGCATTCAGTGTTGCTTACTCCTCTTCCAATACTTCTTCACAGTAGGGATATTGCAGGATATCAGTTGATATAGTTTTGCATAAGAACATTATTTCTCCTTTGGTTGGAAAACCAACTATCACATTGGAAACAGGAAACAAAAAACAGACCTGTAGACTTATTTATTTATTTATTTATTCAGTTTATTACTGAAGTTAAGTAGGAACGGGAAAAAAAAATGACACTCTGGGATGTCTCTTCCGACAACTTGAAATGTTTTATTTTTTCATTTTTATTTGAGAAAGGACAGTATTATTCTGGATTATCTGATGTGCATGAGTGATCTGAGAGCCAGGCTGGCTTCTGCTGAGGACCCTAGAGCCCAGGACTACATCTCGGGAATGATGGCTAACCAGGGACCCTTCAGGTCAGCAAAGCCCTTGGGGACAGTCATTCTGTTCTTCAATATCAACAGTACTCTCAGTATTGCCTTAAAACACATGACCAGGGGGACAAAGACACTAAATTTGGAAAAAATTAAACTTACATGAAGCTTGGTATCATTCTGAAGAAATAATTAACATTTTGGTTTGGAAATACCTATGATACAAAATGCACACCCAATGTAGGATTTATAATCATGTGAATAGTACTTAAAGTTACAAACAACTCAAGAAAGAGAAATGTAACAAAAAGGAAGAAATTTCTGAAGACAAACTAAGGGTCAAAGTTCTCTGCCTTAAGCTACATAACCCTTGAGTAAATAAAGCACACTCATATACACTCTGAATCTGTCCAATTTCTTTGCATTCTGTGCAACAGAGACTCTGTTGTTCCAACATGCCTAGTCCTTGTGAAAAAGTTGGGCCTGAAGGGTGGATGGTTGGCAAAGCTGTTCCTGCTGCTTGTAGGGCACAAGCCAGTTCCCAAAGGGAGGCGGCTCTTTAAGGTTTCCCTCAGACATGGGGAGTAAGGTTTGTCCAAAAGACTGGGGCAAGGGCAGTGGCTCATGCCTGTAATCCCAGCACTTTGGGAAGCTGAGACGGGAGGGTTGCTTGAGCTCAGGGGTTCAGGACCAGCCCAGGCTACATGACAAGACCTCATCTCAGCTTTTTTTAAAAGCTGGTTATAAATGGCCACAGGAAGATACAGCATGTTTTTACAGTCTTAGGAATGTGGAACATGGCATTCAAAACGAGTCATGGTGTATGATTCACAGATCCAGCCATAAAGAACGTAACACCCAGAGAGTTACCAGGCAGTGCACAGTAGCCTGCTATATTTAAAGGGCATCCTCCGTGTGCAGAAAAGCAGATCTGTTGGGGAGGACACAACAGTCCTGTGTGCCTCTCAGGATGGCCCTCTGCCTTGTTCACTAAACCACTTGTACTCCATTTCTAACTGCCCATTTGATGTGTGCAAAGCAGACTCCCTTGCTGGCTAATGCCGGTAGTTTGAAACACTGTTTGCTTCATATAAGGCAAAAATATGTACATTCTCTAATGAGTGCCACATCCGACCATTTCTAAGATGGTGAGAAAACATACCAGATGGTTTTAACATTAGATCAGGTATTATGGGTATCAATTAAACTGAAACACCTGTTTCCCTCAGACATGGGGGGTAAGATTGTGCACAGCTGTCAGCCTCAGACTCGATGCTGACATGCTATGTGTGTCCATATGTGTACCTCAGGGGACTGGTGGAAGAGTAAACGAGTTAACATAACGCACTTAGAACAATGTCTGGTACATAGTCAGTGCCTAATAAATGTTTTAAAACCACCTAAGGCCAGCACGGTGGCTCACGCTTGTAATCCCAGCACTTTGGGAGGCCTAGGCGGGAGAATTGTTTGAGCCCAGGAGTTTGAGACCAGCCTGGGCAACACAGTGAGACCTCATCTCTACTAAAAATAAAAAAATTAGCCGAGCATAGTGGTGCATTCCTGTAGTCCCAGCAACTCAGGAGGCTGAGGTGGGAGGATTGCCTGAGCCCTAGAGTTCAAGGCTGCAGGAAGCTGGGATCATGCCACTGCACTCCTGCCTGGGCAACAGAGTAAGACCCTGTTTCAAAATAAAAAACACCTAAAACTCGTGTGAGTAAATTGTGGGATGTGGAAGCCAAACGCCAATTGAGCACTCATAATAAATGTTAATCCTTGCTAGGGCTTTTAACATGTCAGTTACATTTGTCACTCTTGCTCGACCTGACTCTGACACTAACCTTAGAAAAGAGCTATCTCTGCAGTGTGACCCTCAGGTCAGCAGCCTGGTCTGCTGCCCAGAACTAGCACAGAGGTCTTTAGCATTTACAGGGGGGCTCAGGGAAGTCCCTGCCAGCCCTTCCTTTGCGCATTAAGAAGACAGAGTAGGCAGCATGTCCACTCTCAAAGGCCAGTGGAATATCAGCATCAACACTCCCCACCCAGAGGTCCACAAGGCTAGATTGGAAATGAAAACCAGCAAACCTGGGGGCCAGTTTAGACAGCCAATCCTGTTTGTAAACAAACAACGGGGCTCTCTGTAGCCCTCGAAACTCTTAAATAAAGAAAAGATGTGAAACCTTCAGATTTTAACCAAAAGACCAGAAGAGGCATATAGTCATGACTTATAAAAAAAGCATCTCAGACGGAAAGGGCTGGGCTGTAAGTTCAGTTCCGGGAAGTGAAACTGAAACCAAGTCTGTGCTCTTCTGTCCTGGCCTCCCACTTTCAAGGCACATCATGTCATTTCTGAGTCAGCCAGAGCTTGAGTTGAGGCTGACACAGAGGAGGAGCAGACACTCATTCAAACCGGAAAATACTTTTCTCTAGCATCGTATGAAGAAGAAAACACAGAGATCAGGTGTTTTCTGTGGGAAAAGAGCTGGTTTCCCCTTCATTTATGAAGAAGAAATTTGCAAGACAACCTGGGTAAGCACAATATCTATTATTAATATTGTTATTATTATTTACAGAAACATTGTATTGAATAGGAAGAAATCTGCTTTATAATTAGAAAATTGAAGATATTCCCAAACAATAATACACTAAGCCTAGAAATTCTACACTATGTGTTGCTGTGTCAAGGGTCTGCTTTATATGTATTGAAAAACGAGTCATGACATTTCATAAAAGATGTTGTTGAAAACTAGAGACACTTTTATTTATGAATTCCCCCAGGACTTAAGAGCATCTTCAGAAAGAACAAACAGTGAAAACTTAAAATACTGTGCTTATTTTAGTTACCTCCCCCCACCTGCTCTGAGGAACAGCAGCTCCTGGGGATCAAAACTCTGTCAACTTTTCAGATATTTTCACATGACATACATAGAGAGAGAGAGACAGACAGACAGGTCGCTACAGGAAGTCCTTGGAATTATAGTAGCTTTAAGTTCCTGGCAAAAGTACCAGATTTCTGTCTGACTTCTCCCCCAAATAAATAACAGGGCAACGCAATTTTACTTCCTAAGCCTTCCCTTTGATTTCTTCATCTAAAGGTGTATGTGATTTTTTTGTTTTGTTTTTTGTCTTACTGTTGCCCAAGCAATCCTCCAGCCTCAGCCTCACGAGTAGCTGGGAAGACAGGCATGTGCCACCACACCCAGCAATTTTTAAAAGTTTTTTATAGTCTTGAGTTCTCGCTATGTTGCCTAGGCTGGCCTTGAACTCCTCAGCCCAAGCTGTCCTCCTGCCTCAGCCTCCCAAAGTGCTAGGATTACAGGCATGAGTCACCGTGCCCAATCTGCCTGAGGGTTTTAATATTTGTGCAATCCTGTATAACTTTTGACGTTATCTAAAAACCATTTTGGAACAAGAGAGGGTATAAATAAATCATTAATACGTAAAGTACCTATGAATGGTGGCATAAATGTTTCCAGATGGTGGCATACCTTCTTCAACAATTGTTTTAAACAAATTATTAAAAGGTACAGCTATCCAGACTCCAGCCAAGGCTTCAGGGATGCAGTGTGTGGAAGTGAAACCCGTTCAGTGACAGCTGAAGTGCCCACCATCTGGTAGAGAGAGCAGCCAAGAGTCACTTCTGTTGAACTTGCTCACTCTCCCCAACACATGTCCAGGGCCAGCCTGCTGTCCCCATCTTATAGGAGAGCCTGGCATCGTGTTTCACATGTAATGGCGTGTTGCTCCGCATAAATCACCTGCTTCATGAAACTCACCATTTGGCCTCCTCATGGGTTTAGACGTATCACCTAGGGAAAGAGTAGGCTGCAAAACTAGGAGAGGTGGGAGCTCTCACAGAGGAAGAGGAAGGCAGGGGACCCCAGGACATGTGTGTTGGTGAGACAGCAAGAGGTGAGCAAGGGGGCCGGGTGCGAGGCCTCTGGCCTGCCTGCTACAGCAGTGTGGGCACCCCAGACATGATCTTCCAAAGGGCAGAGAGGACGGGACTTGGCAAACAGATGCAAGAAGATGGCCTAGACAGAAGGGCACTGGTGGAGGGCAGTGTCAGATTTTAGACAACTCTGAACCCAGCAGGAATCCACAGTGGATGAAACGAAAAAGTCGAGAACTTGTGATGTGAAGCTGTGACAGCAAGTGTCTAGTAAAACACTAGAACCTCAGATCCCCAAAATGAATAAGTCATTGTCTTTGGCTTATACCAGGCCGCCATGTTTTTCTGTGCAAGTAACTCCTTTATGTTATTCATTTGTTTATTTACTTTATCATGTATTCTGGAGGCATCTTTGACTGTTTAAATGAAGTTTGATTTACATAAAATGAACAAATCTTAGAGTACAGCTTGATGAAATTTTTACATTGTATTCCCCTGTGTAACCACTAGCCAGGTCAAGATAGAAAATGTTTCTAGTCCAGCATGGTGTCTCACCCCTATAATCCCAGCTCTTTGGGAGGTGGAGACAAGAGAATTTCCTGAGCCCAGGGGTTCAAGACCAGCCCGGGCAAGTCAGCAAGATTCCATCTCCACAGTGAATCAAAAAATTAGCTGGGCGTGGTGGCACACACCTGTAGTTCCAGCTACATGGAAGGCTGAGGTGGAAGGATCACCTAGCCCAGCAGGTTGAAGTCATAGTAACAGTGTCCTGTACTTCAGCCTGGGCAACAGAGTGAAACTCCAACTCGACAACAACAGAAAATGTTTCCACGTTTCCATCACACTGGAAGTTTTCTTTTTCCCTTTTCCAGAAAATGTTTCTCCACCAAGAAGTAATCACTGTTCTGATTTCTATTATGAGAGATTAATTTTGTGCTTAAACGGCATATAACTGGAATCCTACAATATGCTGAGCTTCTTTCATTCAATGTGATTCATCCATGTTGTTCCCTGTGTCCGTACTTTGATATTTATTTTTCATGTGCATCCCTGAGCCACAGAGCAGTTATATATCCACAAAAAACTGTTAAGCAGTTTCTCCAAGTGGCTGAAATAACTTGCATTCCTCCCAGTGAGAGATCCACTGATTCCACATCTCCACCAGATTTGGCATTGTCTGTCTTTAACCTCAGGTACTCTGGTGGCTGTGGAGTCTCCCCATGCAGTTTTACTTAGCATCCCCATTATGGTTAAGGATTGTGGAGTCCTTCTAATCCTGTCATCACATTCACCTCTGTGACTATGAAATCCCCATGTGTTTCTTCCTGCCAGTAAGGCAAGTCTGGTCCTTCACCCAGCCCAGAATCAGCAGATCCCCAAAGTTTCTGAGGCAGGGACCTTACTCCTTAGAACATCAGTTCATCCAGCCCTGGTCATCTAGTCCATCTGTGACCCTGTGATGACTTCAAGAATACACATTTTACAAGACGTGATTTTCCTCATCATTGCAGTGTGAAAGTCGGTGGCTTCTGTGGTCTCCCATGTCACCCAGGAAGTGGAACTTCTTTCATTTCTTCTAGAGTCCGTTTTGGTAAGTTAAATTTTTCAAGGAATTTGTTCCATTAACCGTAGTCTCCAATTTATTCATGCAAAGTTGGTTGCAATAGCATCTGCTTCCTTTAATTTTGACAGTGTCTAATACTGTTTGTTTGTGCCACCTCTCTCTTTCTTCCTGGTTAATCTTTTCATGGGTGTGTCAGTTTGATCACACTCTTTATCAAGAAGAACTTTTGGACTTTGCTGAATCTCTGTCTTGTAACTTTGTTTTCCATTTATAGATTTCTGCACTTATCTTTATTTTTGCCTGCCTTCTTATTTCTGATTGATTCTGTTGTTCTTTAAACTTACTAAGTTGACATTTAGTTGATGTTTTTAAGTCGTCAGTCTATTTTTATAAGAGCATTTAAGGCTATAAGTATTTCTTCAAGTATTGTTGACACTGTTTCTTGCAAGTTTTATATGTAGCCTTTTTATCACTGTTTGGTTTTAAATATTGGCAATTTCTGAAAGAACTAGAAATTGGCCTTCCATATGGCCCAGCAATTCCCCTGTTGGGAATATACTCGGAGGAACTCAAATATTTCTACAAAAAAGATACCTACACACATATGTTTGCTGCAGTTCTATTCACAATAGCAAAAACATGGAACCAACCCTGTTGTCCATTGAAGCTGGACTGGATATATTTATTTTTCAGTTGAGGTCTCACTCTGTTGCCCAGGCTACAGTGAAATGGCATGCTCACAGTTCATCACAGCCTCAGACTCCTGGGCTCAAGCGGTCCTCCCACTTCAGCCTCCTGAGTAACTGGAACCACAGGAGCATGACTCTATGCCCGGCTTATTTTTTATGATTTTATTTTTGTAGAGACAAGATCTTACTATGTTACCTAGGCTTGTCTCAAACTCATGGCCTCAAGCAATCCTCCTACTTCAGCCACCCAAAGTGCTGGGATTACAGGTGTAAGCCTCTGCACCTGGCCACAGTTCTTTATTTTTAATTAAACTTTTCACTTGAACTCATTGTAGATTCACATCAGGTACACGAAGTAATAAGATATTCTGTGTACGCCTTACCCAGGTTCCTCTTTGGTAAAATTTCACAAGATTACAGTACCAAACCACAACTCAGATATTGCCATGTATGTATTCGAAACAAAACAATTTCATCACCACAAGCACCCCTCACACGGCTTCTCCACAGCTCCACCCAGCACCCTCAGGCCACCTTTGCTCCTCAAACCTAGGTTACGAATTTGTTTTCTATGTTTATAATTTTGCCATTCCAAGAAGGTTATGTAAATGAAATTGTACAGGTTGTAACATTTGGGAACTGACCTTTTCCACTCAGCATAATTATCTGAAGATTTATGCAGGTTGGTGTGTGTATTGATAGTCTATTCCTTTGTACTGCTGAGTAGTATTCCATGGTGTGGATGTAAAATAGTTGGTTTCAATATTCACCTTTTGAAGGACATGTAAGTTGTTTCCAGTTTGGGGCTATTATGAATAAAGCTGCTGTAAACATTTGTGGAAAGAATTTTGAGTGATTGTAAGTTTTCTTTTCTCTGAGATAAATGCTCAGCAGTACAATTGCTGAGGTATATTATAATTGAACTTTCAATTTCTTTGTTGTAATTTAAAATATTTCTTATATATTGAACATTTTTGAACATTTAAATATTAGACATACATTTTATTTTATTTTATCTTATCTTATCTTATTTGTGCTGTAGGGTATAAGTGGGCACTTACTACATAAGTAGGCTACCTGCCGGTGAAGTCTGGGTTTCTAGCTGGCCTTCTCACTCCTGACAGAGGACCTGATATCCTGTGTACTCCCAAGTATCTCCCTCCCTCCTTTGCCTCTCCTTTCCCTGGCAGTGTTCCACGTTTGCCAATTCCACCCTTGTGCTCATGTGACCAGTGATCAGGGCCCGCTTATGAGAACTTGCGATATTCAGTTCTTTGTTTTGTGGTAGTTCACTTAGCATGGTGGTCTCCAGCTGTATCCAAGTTGCTGCAAATGTCATTATTTTGCACTTCTTTATGGCTGCATAATATCCCATCCTGCATAT